CTGACCGGACACTCTCCATGGAGATATTTAATTTGTATCCATTTTTCACGGGTATAACTTTCTCTGTTGTCTTCATTCCACAAAATTCCATTTGGACTTTTACTCTTGCTCATCGGAATAGATAGGACAGTCTTCCTATCTTCTGTCAAAAAAAATTGCATTAACTCTCATGAAATTCCACTGATCTCTTTCTTCATTAAGCAAAGTTGATACATTCATATTGGCAACTCCAACCGATGAACTCGACTGCACCTGACCATTCCCCTCTCCGGGCAACCATCTTTCTCGGCAGACCGAAATGGTTTGTCTTTGCAAACTTTCCTCCTAATACGCCGCTCCGACATCTCTTGTGCCTGTAAAATGCTACTCCAGATAAAAGATGGGATATTTCCGGGTTTAGCCTACAAAAAGGAAGAGTTAGGATAATATTTTGCTTTGAAAATTCTCTCCACTAGCGAGTCCGGATCGGATGTTTGATGATAAGCCCACTTGCTTGCTTAACATGGCTAAATTGAACTCACGTAGTGATCCATAACCCAATCAACTCTTCTGTTTACGAATACAGAGTAGTGCCTGCCAGGTTTTCCAAGTAATCCCCTTTTTATTCTGTCCTGAGCAGTGGCGGAACTAGGACTCGTGACTCGCAGGGGCACAATAACAAAGAAATCATATACTACGTATTACTCTAAAAAAATCATATGCATCACGAATATCACAATAAACCAAACTATAAAATTTAAATAAAACAACTACTTAAAGAGTACCTTAATTTTGATTAGAACCTGACGCGTCAAATGAAGGAGATTCATTGAGAGGCGACAATCTTTGTCTTCGAGGGGCCATATTCTGAAATCGCTTCATAATGACTTCATTCTCAATTTTAACAAATACATCTTTTTCAATGTAACACATCAAACAATCTGTCAAATATTCTTCTCCCATCTTGTTGCGCAAATCACCAACAATATAATCATCAGACAATTCAACTTCTATTCGAACCTTTTTAACATTATTGTCATTGTTAGTAATGACATTATCTGATGAAGAAACTAAATTATTCGATGAAGAATCACCAATGCTTGGCTGTTTAGGTTCCCGTGTATAATATCGTAACATAGCAATATTTTGTCAAACAACCTAGGCCAATTACAATTGAAATAATATGAGTATAATTGTATAAATTACATTATAACAAATTAACAACATTAACTAAATCAATAAATACACAATTATAAATTTACAATATAATTAACATTTTAATGAGATTATTTGTTATCACAACATAATTGCCAAAAACTTCAACACTGTATTTGAATTCAACAAATAAAAGTATTCAACAATTAACATTTTATTTGAATTAAACAAATACAATTCAATACAACAACATCCAAGCCTTAATCCCAAAAGATATTGAGGTCGGCTAACATGTATCGATACATGATATCACCACCAAAAGGGTTCTAGTTCCTACTCGCTGACTCGCTGTTGTGATTTGCTAACGTTGTAACTTGAACGCAGTAGCTTGAAGCCTTGAACGTTGACTCGCTTTTAGTTTCCGTCGTTGTAGCTTGAACTTAGTTACGCAGGGGCAGACTGCTTGAGTTGGGACTTGGGGTCTTGGCGTTTTGGCTTTCGGGGAGTTGTGGTGTGGGCTGCCCCAGGAAAGGAATTTTGGGATTGGGCTGGCACAAGGGAAAGGGCTAAGGTAAAGGGCTTTTGGGATTAGGTTGCAGGGGCTCAACTAATTAAATATTAATATATGTATATATATGTTATATATATAAAAAATCACTGCAGGGGCACGAGCACCTCCGGGCACTAGGCTGGTTCCGCCCCTGGTCCTGAGTCCCTCCACCAATAGTCATTCATAATAACTTCAATTTCAGCACACAACTTTTTTGGAAGCAGAAAAACATTCATAGCATAGGTTGGCATAGCTTGGATGTCCGTTTTCAGCAATTGCCTTGGTTTTCATTCTACTCAAGTGAGCGACTTCGCTCTTCTCTCTTTCTACTTCCTTCTTCCCAGACCGGGATTCCTATAATATAAGGGTAAGCCCAGGAATATAGGAAGTGTGCCGTGAGTGGTATTATCACCTTCCGTTCTCACCCCCAAGTAATCAATAATGATCTTCCTTGCCTCCTTATTCAGGTTCGGGCTAAACATAACAGTGATACTTCACCATCTGTCCGGAGCAATTCTTATAAATCTGTAGTATATTCCGGATAGCCTCACATTCTCCTTCCCTGGCTCTACAAATTAAGAAGTTGTCATCAGCAAAAAATAAATGTGACACCGTGGGAGCCCCTCTCGCCACCACAATACCTAATATGTTTCACATACTTTCCTGCTTCCTAATCACCGCATCAAAGCAGGCGGTTCTAACTAAGTTTAGTTGGTTTGACTAAGTTTAGCTACTTCGATATTGTAATATGTAGTAATATTGAATAATAATAATTATTAGTATGTTTAATTTTAAACATTTCAACATGTCACATATTAAAAATAACACATTCTCCTAAAATAACTTCAACAATATAGATATAATTAAATTAATAGTGATCTCTAACAAAAAAAAAATCATTCAAACAACATGGATATAAAATCATTTATCCGTAATATGATGTTGTGTATTTATTATTTTTATAATTTTAAAAAAATATTTGAATAGGACTTTCGGTATACCGGTATCCCTTTTATTTTCAAAACACATACTGATATCATATTGAATTGATTTGGTGTGGTACGGTACCATACCGAAAATACCGGTATACCTAATTTTTCGGTAAATCCGGTAGTTTTCGATATGGTAATTGCGGTATACCAAAATTTTTGTATTTTAGCCCAGCCCTAGGCTTTCTAATAGAAAAACATTATTTGGATTAGAAATTGAATCATTATTGCACCATTTCTATTTTTGGATTAGAATTTTCGTTATTTTTCATACTATAAAATGGTCGGGGTTTTGGTTTTGAACTAGGATCATGTCCAACGCAACACGTGCCGCAATATTTGTTGTTACTTGTTTGAAATATAATACTATCGTGTCCAAAGATGGAGTATAATTTCCATGCTTGAATATAACTTTATTTAATAATCTGATTTTACATATTGAACTTTTATCATATTAAAATCAAAGGGTCTGACATTATTTTATCGCGAATTGGAACTTTTTTTGTCAAGACCATGTGATAATTTTTCATGGCAAATTTTTTTTACACAAATTTTGGCTCGAATTTGATAAGTATCTGCAAACCGTGCAATTTTTTTGACAAAACTAATTGCAATTAGTAAGAAAAACAATGAATGTATCTTGTGTATGAATTTTTATTCAAGATAAGAGTTTTCAATCCATAAAAGATATCCCGCTTATTAGAAGTTACGTGATATCTTTCACCTCTAACTTTGGAGAAAGATAATTAGTACTTAGTAAACAAATTATCAACGTCACTTTTCAAAGAAAGTGTAGTCCCAATATAAATAACATGTCTAACTGTATGGAATATTTCCATGACTTCATCACAACTTTGTGATCGTTTAAATTTCTTATTACAATTATCATAAGCTTTTTGGCGGAATTATCACCTTATCTAATAATTATTTTCTTGTCTAGATAATGGGGCACGAGTTTTACTATAAATAATGATACTAAATTTCGGGGTCGGAAGCGGGACATGTGTCCCTCTAAGCCCCCACCCCAGGCCCTCCACCGAGTTTGGTAATCTATGTGAACCAAATGAATAAAATACTCGTAAAAGCTATTCCTTTAGGCCATCCTTATTATTTTACTTGGTATTTGTTTACTATTCTGCCAACAGGCAACATAAATACCGTAAGCAAAATCAAGCAATATGAATCAGCCTAAATTTCATGTCTTCGTGGTGGGTCGTGGTTGAACAGCCCCCAGAAAATGAAATGGGGAAGACGACGAGGCTCAAAGTTGTTTTCAATGAGGTGTGACCGTCGCCCATTACTTTGGTTTTCAACTCAACTCCACAAAAGTTTGAATTTCTTTCCATTTTCATATCATTGTGCACTGTCAATTTTTGTGTGCCATGATTGTGCAATTTAAGATATACTCACCACTCACCAGGTTGTGTGATGACAGTCATTTGGATAGAAGTATAGAACTACACATTCACGTCTTTTTCTCACCGGGGAATGATGAACCATGAATACAATCAGATCACACAAGACTCGTCAAAAATTTTAAACAAAGTCTAGATTAGATTACAAATTTCATTATTTCTACTATACAACATCACCTTCATAGAAACCAAATTAACAACATTACCTCAATGCCGCAAATATCCTCACCTACGATGAGGTAAGGGGGTCAGATGTATGCAATCTTACGCCTATACTAAAGCACATAAAAAATGTTTTCGAATTACTCTAACCCATGATGAAAATCACATCAAAAATTGCATGATTGAAATATCAAATACGGAGTTTATAAAAAACGTTGCCATTATAGAACCACAAAAGATGTCAATACTAACGAATGTAAGTTTTGTAGATAGTTGGATATCAAATATTTATAGAAAATCAATAACATTCTTTTTTTGGGAAAAAGGATATCCCATTACTAATATTCAGTAATATTTTTCCATTTTTAACACCTTCCCAATCCTGATCTTTCAAAATATTCTGTACTTGCCATTTTTCAAATTCTTTTCTGGATTGCAGAAAGCTTCCTCTTTGTAGACCTTGAAATACGCAAATCTAAAAGACAGCTAGGAAGATAAAGAAATGACGAGTTCGGGTCTTCGGGACTTAAGGTTGCACCAAAAAGAAAAAAGATACCCCGCACCTATAAAAGATACATACAAAGTGCTTAGTATTTTCCTCTTTAAAAACGCGAATTAGAAGTCATGAACATCAATGCCTACTACAAATACATATGTATATATATCTATGATGCCATAAAACGTCACTTTGCACAGTTGAAGCCATGGCAAACAGAGAGAACTATGATAAGGATCAATGCAATTATAATTCCCAGTACTATCAGCTTCACCTTCATGTTCTGCAACCACATTTTTCTCCGGATTTTTGTGCCAGTGTTCCTGAAATCTTGTGCCTGTCATAACACCAAATTATGTAACATTACTTAATATTAGTACCCTATCTGTACATGAGATATAACTTGTTCTCAGATAAGCGCAGCTAAAAATATGGTAATTTGGGGAATAATAATGTTGATCTGTTATGAAGAGAGGATGTGTCATATTTCATACATTTGATTAAATAGATTTTGGAATCCATTTTCTTAGGTTATTGACATTACTTTGTTAATGAGATTGTGTACTTGTGTGTAGGGGTGTGCACAAACCGGTTCAAACCGCAAAGCAGACCGAAAAAATCGGAATTGGACCGAAGCAGAATGCTATCCGGTCCGGTTTTCGGTTATGAAAAATTACAAAAATAAGTAGATAAGTATAGCAAAAATATTAACATTATTAATATTAAAACCCTATATTTACAAATATATTAGTTTCATTTTTTTCTAAAAAAATAATAATTTAGAAATCGGGTTTTCTGGTGCGGTTCCGGTTTTGAACCAATGCACACCCATAATTTAGCAAGTCCATTACTTTTATTAGATGTTGTATTACCATAATTAGAAGTGTCAAATCATAATGACATAAGAAAAACAAAAAGAAGAGACAAAGTGATACTAAAAAAGAAGACACCAATGTTCACCAAAAAGTATAGGAAAGAAAAGGTCAAACCTGCTGATGAAGATTCTCAGTCTTGTTCACAAGAAGCTCTATCTTTTCCCCACGGTCTAGAACCTTATATCAGGAAGCAGAAAAAACAACATACAGGTGATTTTTCTAATCTTAAAGTCTAACTTCAAAAAAATGAAAATGCATGTCAATCGCGTGTATTACCATTAAATAAGGAGATGCAAGCAGATATGGAGTACAGGAATAGTTATTTAACAAAAGACTGACATAGCAATTGACAAGAAAAAAGAAACAAAGGTATCCCATGTTGTAAGCCTTAAAAAACAGTCAACCCTCTCAGTTTTTACATATTTGTTAATCATGAAGAAGAAGCTGATTAACACTCTTTTAAAAGTATTCCTGGTTACAGAGTCATTAAAAACCCATGAATTGTTTTATTCAAAATCTTGCACACAAAAAAACTTGCACAAAGGTATACACTGTAGAGAAGAAATTGACCCAATTGCACCTATGAGTGTGAGGAGGGGTAAGTTCCACTTGGAGAGACGGATATACTAATGAAGATGCTGGAATATGTTGTTTTTATTACAACAGCAAAACTAAATTGGCTAGCTATTATGTGGGTTCAGATGTTCAAATATTCAATAGCTTACAGCACATACTAGGAGTAAAACAGGAATAAGAAAGGTGCTGCATCTTCAAAAACTATTAAGCGAAGTTCCCTTGCAACTTCACCCTAAAAAGTGAAATGGAAAGGGTTTTCAATTAGATGAAATTGGAGGCAAAGATGAAGAGGCATTGTTTAACTTTGAAGGAGAAGATGAAGAAAAATGTGCTTCACTTGAAGACAAAGAAGATAATTATGTTAGCGTTGAGCAAAAGCTCAAGAAGATTAAGAGGCTGCTAGTGGTGATTACGAAACATGCTCAGTACCACAATTGAAGTTTCTACGGTGATTCAGTGCCGCCTCAATGGTTATGGACTTGATCACTATTATTATTTATACTAGCTAGTTTATCTAAAAATGGCCAAAACCAATAACTCACTTGTGATCTTGTGATAATTGCAGTAAGCCTCTTTGTCCCGTCCCATCTGCTTATCACCCAGGTCCTGAGGCGGGGGATGCCGACCGTATCGCGGATCTCATCATAGATCTGTGCGACCCGGACGGTGAGCGGTGTGAAGTTCCTATTGGGCAAGACCCTTTGCCTTGGTCGGCCATCTTGACCTTGCGGTGCATCCGAATTGGACCACCCCTCATCTGAATCTCCTTCTAGACTGGCGAATCTTTGCGCCGAGCCAGAACCTCCGCATAGCTTGTTCCCGGGTTCATCTTTAACGCTCGGTAAAGGTCACCAGTTTGGAGAGCATATCAACATAAATTCCACGAATCACTAGTTGGGATCAATGTCCAGGTTCAATGAGCGATGACGGAATAAGGCAGCCAAAAGCGACTAACGGTGGCGGTTGAAGAGTTCCGGTGAAGATGAGAGAAAGAATACACGAACATTGGAAACAACACTTCTAGATGACATCAAACACAACACAAGAAATACATGTCAATAGGCAGAATACAGGATTACGGTTACAAATATTTTTTTCATTGTATATGCATAAATATTATTTGCCAATTAACGCGGTTTTGAAGATTGGCTAAAGCAAGATGACACTGAACAATGGTTTGCAATAAAAGGCTCCCTACTAAAGTCATAAGGAACACAAAAAAGTCTGACTACATATTTCCTCAGCAAAGGATACCCAGAAAATATGATGCCATGATGCACCACTACATCATCATAAGCTTAACCCCTCGATAGTTGACATATTCTTGTACATCACTCTTATTTTTAAATAGTGGAATAAGAACCCTAAATGCCAACTCGCTGACATTTTGTTGTTTATCCAAATCATGTTGAAGAAACATGTTAGCCACTCGATTCCTGTCTCTCTCCCAAACTTCTCCAGGCCTCGATTGGTATGCCATCTGGAGCCACTGCTTATTTCCGCCTCATCTTTCTCAAAGCCTCTTTACCTTCTGATATTTGGATCCTTCTCACAAAATCTCAATTTATCATACAATCTGGTATAGTAAGATCATCAATACCATGCACTTTATTCCCGTTGAAAAGGGTATCAAAATATGACCTCCACCTTTCTTTCATTTGTTCGCCCTCCATATCGACATCCTTCACACACTTAACTTTTCTGATATCTTGAGTCCTACGATCAGGAATACGAGCAAGTCTATAATCGTCTTTTTCTCCTTCCTTAGAGTCCAATTTTACATACAACTCCTTGTTCACTTTCCCTCTTGCTTCTTTTAGTCTCTTTATACTTCTCTATGTTCCAATTTTACATACAACTCCTTCTTCATTTACTTCTCTGTATAGTATTCAGAAGATGTTTAAGCTTCAATTCTCCAGTATTGTCATTAGTCGTTACATATCCTTTCACTAGCATCTTTTTTGGAATATAAACTCCAACTAGTAGTCTCAGATCTCGCAAAGATAGGTGAACAAAGTAAAAGAGACCAATGACTTCAATGCTTGCAAATAAAACACTTCCAAGTTCCAACATCCCACTGTGATTTGCCTCATAAAGAGTGGAAACTGGAAACCGCATTTGTGCTTCGAAATCGGGAAGAATAGCTGGTTGGCATGAAGTCAATGTGGAATATCAGATAGTAGTGAAATCTCAACGAGAAAGATATGAATCTTTAAAAGGGAAATGGTTGACATCATTGAATCAAGAATTGGGGCTGCTTTAGAGCTTTCATTAAGTTACAACTTAGTCCTTGAAACAATTTTCCTAAAAGAAAGTGTTTCCTATTTTTATTTTCTATAGCACCAACCACAAATTCCGGAACGTATCCCCCTACTTTGAAAACACTGTAGCGCTACAATATATAGCAAAATGACAGCTATTGAGACAAATCTTATGCAGAATACATATCATATGAATGCATATAATTACATACCATACACATATCAAATCCAAACGACAATAAATATAGCTCAAAGAGTCACACTCCATTGCATTAATAACTACTAATTGTTTACACTTTAACAATAAAAAAGTCTCAAACCTGATTACCACTATTCCCACATCTCCACTTATTCCCGTTGGTGCCTTTTGGCTTTGGTAAGTCCTCATGTGGTTGTTTCGCCACAAAAATATAGGTGACACTATTCTTGTCTTTTAAATCTTTCAAAGTATTTCACTCCCAAGTTGGCTTAAGATTTTAAGTTTTTCAACAAACAAGTCAGTCGAAGTGAAAGGGACCCGGGCTAATTAGAGTTAATAATAGTAATAGAATAATATCAAATAAATTGTTGGTGGACAAGTAAGGGTTTGGGCCATGTAATTCAGGAGCTTGGGCCAGCTCTTAAGGATAGAAATATTATAAAAGGGGGAAGGACGGAAGCAGAGAGGCAGGCAGAAGTTTACATGGACTGGGAATTGGGAGAGTGAGGCCTCTCTAAGAGTCTCGATCTGTATTTTCTTCTCTTTCTTTTTGTTTGCCGCTATTGTACGTTGTTTACTAGTTACAGTGAAGTTTGATATCTAACATTGGTATCAGAGCACCGATTATGGAGAGAGAGAGAGAGAGATGGAGAGTGGAATCGAAAAATGTATGAGACATGCGAGAAATGATTAACGATCTGCAGACTATCATCAAACAGCGGAGTCGCATGTGACCTAGAGGCCGAGCGAGGAGCCCCCTAGACGTCGTCTGCTAACTGAAAGCCAGTGCTCGTCGTCGTCGCAAGCCAAGTCTCCCAGTGCATCGCGAAGTGCGCAGATTTCGTCTCAATCGCTAAGTTCACAAGCTCCGTCACAAACAACTTGTCAGAGTTCGCAGTCGCGACCTTCAAATGCCTCCTCATCGTCTATCAGTTCGCCTCCAAGTAAGATGCGACCTAGAGGAGAATCATTATCATCACCGCCGTTTCTCCCCGCTTGCAATCTCTATCCGAGTCTCTAGCCGCTCCTCACCGATCCTCTTCGTTGCAAGCCGTTTCTTTGAGTTCGCAGGTTTCTTCTCAATCTCAAGCCGCGTCTCACAGTGCGCTAGCTAGCTCCAAAGCTCCATTGCCAGTGGATTCTCACACCTCACAATCTTCGTTTCACCGTTTGAAAGCGCAAACCGCGTCTCCCAGTCCGTCGCTAGCTGAGTCTCCTTGCTCGCAGAATTCGACGCAAGTTGTTTTTACAGGTAAGCCATCTTCATCGCCGGCAGAATACTCCACTTCACAGATGGCATCGCTAGCAGTTTATCCCAGATCACATTCGCAGATGCCCCCAGTGCACAAATTCCATCGCTTCTCACGGATGGAGACGATGAACTTGAGGAACGAATGTCAGAAATCGTTGGGCCAACCGCTTCAAGTTTATTCAGGTTTGTGGTACTGCTTGTGTTGAGAAATCCACATTTTCTTCTCAGCTTGCACAGAATATGAACTGGCCAAATGTCAAATCTGAAATGGTGTACCATCATTCATCAAACATTAATTGGGAAGGATTGAACAAGTTTAATAGTTTGAGCTATGATCAAGGTTATGATTCTGAACATCTGAAAGTAGTTAGTAATGTTGTTGCTAAAAAGATAATGAGCCAATATCCTACCTACTTTTTAATAATGTGTCATCCTAGCGCAACCAAGGAGATGCTTGAATCCTTTCTTGAAACTTCTGCAGCTGTAGACAAGGGACAGGCAGTTTACTTTTGTAGGGGAGATATGAAACCTCCCGAGTTTGCTGTTGAGGATGGACCTCTTGCTTATTTTGATTTTGGACTAATGATAGAATGGAATAAGATCAATCACTGTGAAGAGAATATTGCTGCAGCAGATAAGGTTTCTGAAAGCGTTGATAGGGAAGTGATAACCAAATTCATCAGTCAAAATCGATGCTGAAGCTGACTTTGTAATTTTAATTGGAGATGCTCTGTGGTGGCAAGATTCTGTGCAGGGTGTAATTCTCTTTCGGAATTTCTATTTGCTGAAATTGGGTGGAACAGACATATTACTGGAAAGAGGAAAGTCGGCAAGTTTAAGGACGATTAAAGATAGTGTTAGGAGATTGAAGATCAAATTGGAGGAAGAAGGGCAAGTGAAACAACTGCCAGGAGATCATACTGGCAGCAGAATCAAAGCCCCTGGGAAGACATTGGTGAAGAACCTGCAAAACAAGGAAGCATCATCTTGGGTCATTGGAAGTAACTGGCAGCATTTGAAGAATCCGAGTAGGTCATTATTAGATGCAAACATTTGTGCACTTCTTGACTCTGATGTCTCCTCTGAAGATATTGCTAGTATAGCAGTTGATCTTGGTAACAAGGGGTTGGCAGTTTTAAAGTTAGAGGTTGTAGGAAATCAAGACACTATTTATGATGCAGCAATTACATAAAAGATAAGACAGGAAGTTGGTGGAAAGGTTGACTTGAAAGTATCTGCGTTAGTTTCTGCAATTGCAAGCAGATCTGTTGTGCAACATTTCTGTTGGCTGTTGAAGTTCCATAAGACAAACCCTGCTATTACAAATAATTCTATAATTGATAATAATTGCCGTACAAAAAAGTGGATGGTAAATGGAGAAGTTTGCATAGTGCTTGTTGCAGACAATGAGTTAAGTAACTTGAGTAACATCAAATCTACATCCAACACATTGATAGTATCAGAAGTGAGAAATGAAATTGCACTCGACATATCTTCTGCAGCAGCAACAGTTGTGATTTTGAAGGAACACATAATGAAGCTTCTGATTCAGCAAGCAGAGGCCAGAGAGATAATGGAAAGGAAGACGTGCAAGGATGAAGAAGAAGCTCTTGGTTAGGGCTGTTTCTTATCACCCACCTTGAGGACAAGGTGGTTGAAGGGGGGATACGATAGGGACCCGGGCTAATTAGAGTTAATAATAGTAATAGAATAATATCAAATAAATTGTTAGTGGACAAGTGAGGGTTTGGGCCATGTAATTCAGGAGCTTTGGGCCGGCAGCCGGCTCTTAAGGATTGAAATATTATAGAAGGGGGAGGGAGGGAAGCAGAGAGGCAGGCAGAAGTTGGGACTTGGACTGGGAATTGGGAGAGTGAGGCCTCTCTAAGAGTCTCGATCTGTTTTTTCTTCTCTTACTTTCTGTTTGCCGCTATGGTACGTTGTTTACTGGTTACGGTGAAGTTTGGTATCTAACACGAAGGGACTAGAGTGTATCCATTTTGACTCTCCATATTAAAAAAAAGAGACTAAACTGTGGAAGGCTTGTAAAGAGGCACAGAAGATTACCGAATAGTTGAGTCATCAAAGGGCAGTGAAATTGGGTTGTAAAGATCTTGATGACTGGTAAAAGGTTGTCAACATGTTGTCCAAGATGCTGAAGGTCATCAAAACACACAGAAGGTTGTCAAAGAGAACTGATTCTAAAAAAAGATTTTGAGTCTGTGAGGTGGTTCTGATGTGTTCAGAAGTTTTTCGTGGGGTTACTTTTTACTCTTTATAGCTACACTGACCTTAAAAGTCAAAACAGCAAAACAAAATTACCCCCAAGTATTGCAGCTAATGTACCCGCTATAGCGCCTGATATTACCTAGAGCCAGCCACAGCACTACAAAGAAACAGATTGTGTTGCCCCAAAGCAACTCCGCTACAGCTGCACTACTGAAATTGTTGTTACACAAGTGGCTCTAAATGCTTTAGGGAGGTTACGTGAGTTGCTGAAGGACACATATCTAAAATGCACACACTTGAATGGCTTGACAACCATGTCAGTCATCCAAATCTAGAAACAGTGTTAACGATGGTCTAAATAGTTAAATGCTTACCCAGTAGTTGGCCACTGGCAGGATAGTGATGTGGACTAATTACCAGGGAGTAACTGGTGATTAAGCGGGCCCAGTAATAGTAAATTCTTGACAAATATGCCACAAGTTTCTAAAGAGGGAAGAAACAATACGCGTAAATAATCCCCTACTCATATGGGACTTATATAAGCCTTGTATTGTATACTTACACATCACCAAACGCATATTATTATATTACAAAAAAGAGTTACAGTTTTTTACAGTGTGCTCATAGCAAAAATAGAAATATGTGTACCTTGTCAATATTTTCCATCATGACACCTTTGACTTCAGAAACCTGTGCTTTAACCTTCGCAATTTTGCTTATCTCATCGGAATGCTCAACGCAGTATATCATATGCTCCTTCAACTTTGACCTGCATCAAACCTTTCAATCCAATAAGATGAAAAAATGGAAAATCTCCCACATACACAAAAACCACAACTTATGTACCCAAATTCCTTGTTGAGACTATTATGGGTGGCAGTGCTAGCCTTTCCACCACCGTATTTTCCAACAAAATCATCCTTAATACGCTCCAGATATGCCATAGGGATCTGTCGTCCAACTGATTCTTCAGCAACAACACAATAAGCTGCAAAACCACAAATTAGTCATCCTACAAAAATCTAACGAAAACCACTGGAGGCAGAGGCGGAATCAGAACGAATTTTGAGGGGGCTAAATATATGTCAAAAAATTATATACTTAAATTGTAATAAAAGCATGAAAAAACATAATATGGCAAAAATACTTACATTAGGCTACTATTAGTTGTTAGATATGGCAAAAATACTTACATTAGGCTACCATTAGTTGTTAGAAGAAGAAATAAGTTGAAACAATACATGTATGTGTTGAAAACGTTACAAAATTGCATCATTTTCAATACAAATCATATTCTAACAAACAAATTACAAGATTATTAATATACACATCAACTCCATTTACAAATGATTAATATCATACACAGTAATTATCTTTCAATTTAGTCATTATTATTAAACATATTAATCAAGTCATTCTATACAGTCATACACTCATTATTACTCATATAGAAGTTATGTATACCTTTTACAAATAATTTGTTTGTATGTCTCAAAGTCAAATATAGAAGTTATGTCTCATAGTCTAATGTAAAAGTTAGTAGAGACTGATTTGAAAAATTATTACAAAATTGGCTGAATCTGCTGAAATTTGAAGAAGAAAATTGTTGCTGAAACGACTAACTTGGTTGAACTTGCTTAATTAAAAAAATTATATTTAAAGTATTTTATTAATAAAACAAAGAATATATTATAAAAAATAACTAAAATACTCATCTTCAACAAATTCATCCAATTCAACAAGAAAAGTAACTCTAATCTTACTTATTTTGATTATTACACAATTGATCTTGAAAATCAAAAGTTGTGCTTTTAATAAAAAAAAATTGACTAAGGTTGTCAAAAACAATAGGGTACCACATGGGTTCCTTACAAATACTCCCATTAGCTATTTATTAGAAAGAAGCAATTTACTAAACAAATTAAAATTGAGAAAGTGTAGGATATTTGGAATACATAGAAGTCAACTAGACAAGACATCAAGTAGAAGCTACACTCATAAATGTCCTCACGGCTTCAAGCCCAATTCAAAAAACTGAGCAAGCATGAATAGACCTGATAGTTAGTACTACCTCCGTCCCATTAGAAGGTTCTCGTCCACTATTCATATGGTCAACTTAAATCATTTTTAATCTTTTTCTTTATATATCAAATTTTTATCAGATTTACATTTTTTATCAGACTTTGTAGCGGTTTTAAGGTAGTTTCTGAATATGTAAATTTTATTTACTAAAAATAATCAGTGTGTGAATAGGAATTAAGTTGCTTTATCGTCAGTCAAACATCGTAAACCGTAACGGGAACCTTCTAGCAGGACGGAGGGAGTACTACGTAATTACGTACATTTTTACTCCGTATTTGTTTCATCACTTCAACAAAATGATACAGTTAGGTTAAGTATTTTCATTGTAAAATTAGACCGTTGAAGCTCGGAGGCACGGTCAATTTACTACATATACCTACCTCCTAATGTCCGGCGAGGGGGCGGCGCTAGGTCACCCCTCCTTGGTTCTCCCCCTGATTGGAGGAAAGGAAGCCTTTACGATCAATCAGAAGGGGACGATGCACTTATGTTGAATCATAAGAAATAATGAAGGACTCTAGAAATTGGAAAATAAGCACCAGATACGTGCTCAACTGTTCTTTTCGTATTGAATTGTTGATTTAGCTATGAGACACAACATTCAGATCTGTACATCATTGAGCACTACATAGAAAAACTAATCCCTTAAGGAGTCTAAATTTTCAGTAGATAGACTCATAGAAAAGGCGGAAAGGGATTCTCATTTCCTAACTAAACAAAACGTGCAGCTGTCTTTTCAGTAAAAATAAACGGCTACGCTGAGTGAAAACTACAGGATAAACTGCTGGAATCCTATACAATCTTGGAAGTGACCTTTCCAGCCCATTTGAAAATCCAGGACAAGTAAATGACCTGGATGTGAGTAATTATCACACTCCTAACCAGATTAGGGGGTGTTTGGATCTACTTCTTAAAATTGTTTCTGCCTCCTTCAGGGAGCAGGGACCAGAAGCAAAAACTGAAAGCAAATACTGGAGTGTTTGGGTGAAACTGCATAAGTACTTCTACTTCTGGGTGCTCCAAATTGCTTAAGCAGTTTTTAGAAGCCGGGGGAGACCAGCTTCTCAAAAAGTGATTCTTATTCTACTTCTCCTTTTAAAGAAGAAGCTGTAGCAGAATCAATTCCAAACACCCTTAAACAACCTCAACTTTCTTGCACATTGAAAATACAAAGTAAAAAAAAAACTAAAAATTAAAACAGAAAGGACACATAAAGAGGAGAGAACTATCATCATCTAATGAAAAAAAGAAGTTGAGATCCATGCATCAAATTCACTAGCTAATCATTCCACCATTAGTGAGTGATGTCCGCTCATAGTGATCCCAATCCCTTTGATATACGGATTGGCTAACACCATTAGTCGAATCTCCCTTCAGTCACCTAAATCCACTAGAAAGAAGCTGATCTTAAGAAGGGTTGGCTCAAATAGAAAAATTACCTTTGGTACTTGGGTAATATTACGATAGATAGACATTTTAACTATTTCCCTTCAAATAAATTGTGACATAAAAGCAGGGGATGCTTACTGAAGCCGTTATCCACAAGGTAGTTGAAGGTGTGACCATCGCAGCTATAGGTGAACTTGTTGTTGGATGCCGGAAGCTTCTGGAGGCATTGAAGAGCTATGGCGTTGAAGTTACCGCTGAAGTCGGTGTGTTCGGCCAGTATCACGCTCCCACGCGCCACGAACGCGTAGATCAACGCCGTCTGCTTCCCCATTTCCCGATGGGTTCTCTCTGTGCAGCGGCGTGTAGGGTGAATCGAATCGCTAGGCAAACTTAAAAGGTGAAGGAATAGAGGTGACTGGTGAGAGAATGTCGTAGAAGAAGGCTTTTCTCACCAGACTTGTCTTTTTCTAGGGAGGAAGTGTGAGGTTGACGTAAGGTAAGATAAAGAAGATGAAGAGGTTTAAAAGATGGGATTTAAGTTATAGAAATTACTAGAACTAAAATTATGACAAAAACTCGAACTTCCTATGTTTTTTATTCTAAAATAGGACCATAGTGGTCCTATTGGAAACATACTCATTTCTTCCTTCCATTCTTACTCCTTCTTTAAATATTAGTAAAAGATAGTTAAAAGTCATAATTAAATATTTAATTCATAATAAATTCGAAAAAATTTCAATAATTCGTAGAAAAATAATAAAAAAATTAATAAAATTTTTATAAAACAAAAATAAGAAAAAAAATTAATTTTTTTTTGAAAATTAATAAAAATAGTAAAACTCCATAAAAAAATTAAAAAATATATGGATACCTTTCCCACCGCCTGTACTACCTCCCTGAACCACCACCTCCGATCGGTGTAAAAAATGCCACTTTTTTTTAAATTCCACGAAAATGACATATTTCTCTATGAGAATGCCAACATTTTCATTCTGCCAACTTGAATCCTTTTGACTTTTGCCAAAAATATGGCATTCATAATTTTTTTGGCATTTTTTTACCCCGGTGACAGGAGGTGGTGGTACCGCCTCCCTGCACCACCACCTCCGACCGTTAAAAAAATGTCATATTTCCTACAAACTTCCATTTTTTCGGAAAATGCCAAAAATATGGCATATTTCTCTTTGACAATGCCAACATTTTTTTCTTCCATCTTAGATCATTCTGAATTATGCCAAAAATATGGAATTCATAATAAATTTGACATTTTTTCCCCAAATGACTAGAGGTGGTGGTGCTGGGGCGTCAGAGGCGGCGGTGACAAAAAAATTATTTTTAAATTTTTTTTTAAATTTTTTTAAATTTTTTTTAATTTTTTTTTTTAAATTTATTATTATTCAAAATATTTTTATTAATTTTTTGGTATATTTTACGAATTTTTATTATTGTTTATTATTTTATTATGAATTAAAACATTCCAATAGGTATAAGAGTATATTTGTCCAAGACACACATAATTAGTCCTATGGAAACATAGTTTATTTTTTTTGTCCTATTTGTGCAAAGTGAATAACTTTTAGTCCTATTTTGATAATTAACTCTTTAAGTTAATTTTGAAGGTAAGTCAAATTTAAGTAAGTAGAGGACCAAATCAGAAAGATTTAGATCAGATCAGATCAGAAAAATTCAGATCAGATCAGAAATTTTGAGATCAGGCGAATAAAACAACTTCTTAATCACTTTTTTCCAAAAAAACACTTAAAAATGGCGTAACTTTTTAAAAGTAGAAACAATCGCAAACACTCATTTATTTAAGCCGTCCCAGACCAGATCAGACCAGACCAGACTTGGATAATTATGAAAAAACAAAGAAACCAGACTAGACTAGACCAAATCAGCAAATTACAATCCAAGTAAAAAGCCGCTATCACACTCCCCAATATCGAGAACAAATTTGTTCACCCCCTCTAAAGAGGATGAACATCATCCCCACCCTCCAATGCTGCCACATGGCATGGCAATACATTTCAATTTTGCAATTCTTATAACTTTTTTGTTTTTGGTTCAGTTTTTTTAAAAAATATATCAATATTTTTAGTTTTTTATGATCTTTAATTTGATACTAATATCGCAAAATTTTAAAAAAAAAAATCCAACTAAAAAAAGTCTTAAGAAAAGAAGAATATTTTTTTCAATTTTTTAATACATAATATGGATATCATTAGAAAGATAATAAAATGTTATTAAATTTGATATATTTTTTGTGAAAATTAGATTATAAATAAAAAAAGTTATAATGATTTTAAGAAAAAAAGGATTTGTGATGCCAAATGGCAACAAAGAAGGGAGTGGGTGATGTTCACCCTACAAGAAGGGGTGAACAAAATGGGACTCCTATATTGTACACCCGGATGTACGGGTGGGAACCGTACATCCATGTATTTTTGTAACATATTGAAATCTCTTAAGGCTAAATTAATATATGAAGCATGATACGGACTCACCAGCTGCAAATTATATCGTACACCCGGATGTACGGTGCTCATCGTACATCCGGGTATTTTTGTAATTGTTTCTGATCTGCAGGTAGTTCACTAGTTCAGTTCGTTCATTCATCCCGCATACGCTCTTTTTTAATTTTTCGCTGCTAGCTTTAGTCCACTACGCGCAACCATATCTGCTATTTTCCGTTTGACTTTATTTGCTTTCACGTAACTCTGATCTTTCTTTTTAATTTCTTTTTCCCTTTTTGTTTTAACACCTTTTCCATTGATTTTACCTTTAATTTATGATGTATATATGTCTGAGGTATTAATGTTTTATTTTTAGTTTAAGGTGAATATTTATTACTTTATTAAATATTTGAGGTATTAATGTCTTATTTTTTATTTTTAGTGTAAGATGAATATTTATTAGTGTATTGAATAATATGTACTAATAACTAACTAACATGAGTTTTATGTTATGCTAAAATGAGTATTGTAAAATAAATAGCATGGGTAAACATTATAAAAAGAACCCTATTACATTTGTAATTCCAGAAAGAAACACTATAAATTATTTTTAATATAAAATTGTTATATTTGTCATTATGATGTTTGTCATTATGATACATGTGCAAAGATGAACATTTAAACACACTAGAGAATTCAAACGAGCTTTTGATTTTTCTTTATGCTCATTTTGTAAGTTACGTACGTTCATCTAGTATTGGTTCTATGTTCATTTTAAAATGTCATACTAATGCATATTTCAAAAGTTTCATAATAGATTCACATGGGGGCATAGATCATAATACTAAATTGCATACTTTTGATTCTCAATAGAAGAGATATGATGTTCGATGAAATGTCTTGATGCTCAAGTAACAAAGCTTATGATTTTCATATTATTGCTCATTTACTGCGTTTTGTATGCTCATTTGGTAATGGATCTATGCTCATTTTAAAATGTTATATCAATGCATACTACAAAAGTATCGTATTACATTAGATTTACGTAGGAGTTGATTATAGATACTAGATCGAGCACATACCTTGATACTCTATTAAATGTTTCTAATATTCAATAGAAGAGATTTGATGCTCAATGAAAATGTCTTGATGCTCAATTTAAAAAAATTTATCAATGCTCATTTGTAAGTAACATATGCTCAATATATACTCATTTATACTCATTTTTAAAATGTCATATCAATGCATACTTCAAAAGTACCATATTACATTAGATTCACATATTGAAGTTTCATAGGAGTTGTTTACAGATATAATTTCATAATTTTTTTTAAAGGAAAAAATAAGAAAATGAAAGTGAATATAAGATTTGAAGTAGAGATCTCGATGCTCAATATCAGACTCCTAATACTCAACAGAATTGGTCTGATGCTCAGTAAAAGTTCATTAATGCTCATTTAATAGAAACCATGAATTTCATCTTAATAGAGGATGTTTAAAGCTCAATGAAATGTTGTGATGTTCAACTAACAACATTACATTTTTCATACCAATGCACATTGTCTAAGTTACATGCGCTCATTTGATACTGATTTTATGCAAATATGTAAAATGTCATATCAATGCATATTTAAAAAGTGTCATATTACATTAAATTCGCATATCACGGTTTCTGGGGAATGAGCATTGATAAAATTTTAATGAGCATCAGACCTATTATGTTGAGTATTAGGAGTCTAAGTATTTTGAAATATACATTGATATAACATTTTAAATTGAGCATAACACCAGTACAAAATGAGCATAATCACTTACCAAATGGGCAATGATATGAAAATCACAAGCTATGTTAGTTGAGCATCAAGACATTTTAATTGAACATCAACCCCCCTCTATTGAGTATCAGAAACATGCAATTGGGTATTATTATCCTTGCTCTCGAGTCTATAATCAACTTTCATGTGAATCTAATGTAATATGATAGTTTTGAAATATGCATTGATATGACATTTTAAAATTAGCACAAAACCAATATCAGATGAGCATACGTAACGTACAAAATGAGTATCGAAAACTTCAAAAGCTCATTAAAAAACCTCTAATGTGTTCAAATATTCAGTTGTGTATGCTCATTCCTTTTAAATATTATACACAATATTAACACACATTATTAAAATAATTAATACACATTATTTAATAAAATAAAATATTAATACCTAAAATGTTATATAATGCACAAATTAAATAGTGAAGTTATAAACTAATAAAAGTTGATTGGAATAAGAAAATAAATAAAATAAGCATGGGGTCTTGGACATTAAATAATACGGAGTATTCTATATTTGCACTTAAAAAAACAAAGCAAAAGAAGGTTAAAGAACAAGAAAGAAAACGGAAATATGGAGTAGAAAATATGCCCTCAACTCAAGATCGGTGAGAGCATAAGTCGGCACAAAGCAGGAGGTGGTCTATATCCAGAAGGTATTCGACGAGAGGTGCCAGTGCAAAACACCTGGCAACAGAGAATTAAGACATGAAGATTAAGATGAGCTGAAGGATTTACGATGCAAGTGGAGTATTAATTGAAGCGTGATTTTGCAATTTTTTTTTAAAAAAACCGGGTGTACATGTACACCCGGGTGTAGGATATACGAACTCCTCACCAGCACCGAGCCACCGACTTCGTGGAATCTGTCGTTGCCATCAAAATCTCCCTCCCCTGCTATTCTGCTAATACATCGTTCCCGTCGACCATGAATCAATTTACCTTCTTCGTTGAATTATACTCTCTGTCAAACACCTCTGGGCAAAGGATAAACCTTCTGAAGCCAAAACCATCCACAAACCAATTCTGACCCCATTATTATCCACCGCACATAGTTACATCTTCACATCCTTTTTGGCTTTTTGCAGTTACAAGGTGCAAATACAATTTACAACCATCATGGCATCCAAACCCCTTATGACAATTTTTTATTAATATTAAATCTATTACATATGCATTTTCATAAAATGAGTTTTATGTTAATTCAAATGACTATAAG